CGGACAATACACTAATCCACTTACCTTGATTCATGTGACACCCCTGCTGCCACATACAATATTTTTTTTAGTTTTTTATTTTCTTATTTACTTAATTATTCTCTGTTTGGTGAAACTCTTGTGAGACCCCTAGCAACCTGCAGAGATACACAATTTGGAAACCACTGATCTAGGCCATCCCATCTACTCAACTAAACACCAAACTTTAAAATTAAAACACTCAAAGCCAGTCCTTATCAGTAAAATACTTATCAATTCTTCCCTTTATCCCTATTAAATTAACTGCCTCCACCACATCTGAAGGCAACCATTCCAAAGGCCAACCACCCTGTTAGAAAAATAAAACTCTTTGCTGAAGATTACTCCTGCCCTGCCAAAATCTATACTTATGTTTCCTAATCCTACCATTAAGTATAATAAAAAAAGATAATTCATCAACACTATAAATTCCCTTAACAATCTTAAACACCTCATCAGATAATGATCAAAAGTCTCTCAAACTATTACTCTTTTGTTTACGTAAGATAATTACAGAACCGTTATAAGTTTTTGTCATATTTACTTTAAACCATTATTCTTATTATTTTTTTCAAATATTGCCTTCCACACTAATTCAGTTACTTGTAATTTATCCTGTTATTGAAGAATAAATACTTACTTTTATTGACCTTTTCACAAAGAAGAAACACTTCCTCATTTCCTGTGCAGACCCCAGAGCATTTACTGATACGCACAATTTTTAATTCCCCTACATCAGGACATTCTGTAAAATGGAAGAAATATTTAAAATATATAAAAAATTTTTATTTCAGCTATAGTGTTTGACAGAGCTGGGCAATGAGTGAAATTCAATTACTGGCTAATCACTGGGATCATTAATCAATTACATTCTTGATTATTTTCACATGAGCCATGTACAGTTGGAATAATCAAAAATTGAAATATTTTAAATACAGTACAAAATATTAATTTTAGGGTAAATTTCCAAATAGTTTTAAAACATGTTTCCAAAAATAGATTCAAATGAAATTTATCTATAAAATTTACAAATTTATAAAACAATCGAAAAAACTTCAACGATCTCTTGTCTGGAAAGTCTTGGTGTCAGGAGACTTCCAAAGATTTAATTATTTTTATCTACTTAAACAATAAATGAAAGTGCAAAATAAAAATAGGAAAAGAAGATCATTTCAACTCCTAATTTTAATTCAAACAACAATTACATTGAATTAAAAGCGAGATGAACAAACTTAACTGAGTGACAGACTGAGAAACTAGTAACCTTAACGCAAGAACCATCCAAACTTTTGATTTATCTGGTTTATTATTACACAGTATCATGTACTTTACATTTTCTTATACAATTTATGCATATTCAATTTTTGAAACTGATTCCAAGTATGATAAAATAACTAAGCTAGTAAATCTCAGCTCCAAAATACATTTTTCTCTTAGATGTATCAAAGAAATAAGGTCAACGTTTAATAGTACACAATGAACTTAAAATGAGACTGATCCCAGTCTCAAAGTACAATAAAAATATTGTTTTACACAATAATTTTATTGTATAAAAATAAAATACTGTAAGACTGGGAACAATCTCATACACTGTACACATTTGGATGTCTTACTGTGTCATCATCAGCAAGATGTTGAAACATGTAGAGTGTATGAGACTGTTCCCTGCTCTCACAGTATTTTATCTTTATAAATCAAAATTATTAAGTAAAACAATTTTTTTATTGTATTTTGAGACTGGGGACAGTCTCATTTTAAACGTGTATTATGTACTATTAAATGTTGACAATTTCACTGATACACCTGTGCGAAACCTTACACAAGTGTCATGCTAATCTTAATATTTTTCTCTTTAAAAATAAAAATAAAGCACTTATACTCACTTTGGTTTGCAATATTATTAGAAAATTTAGGCTGACAAATGGGGTAAGAGATATCAGAAACTGTAGGATTTTTGGAAAAGGCTTCAAAACAGATTCGAACTCTATTTAAATCCATGTCCTTGGCTTCTTGTTCTGCTTCCTCATGCAGCTTGACTTTCTCAGCATCTATGAATAAACCACATTTACAAGCTGCATTTTTTGCTACTGATTCTTGGATTAAATTAAAAATCCCCATAGCAGAGATGTTTGGTAGACAAAAAGTAGATTTAAAATGTTTTGGATGACTCTGATTTGGAATCTATAATAGACTAAGAAATCTAAAAAAAAATTCTACAGCCTAATGTGATTTTTTTTTATCAATAATATTAGGCTTTCACTGCAGTTTTTTTTTGTAAGATTTAGTATTTTTTTATTATTTATACCAAAAGTGCTTTTACATTTATTATACATGTGTTCAAAATTTATCCTGTATTGATTCCACTTATTTTATTTAAAAGAAAAACGGTTTGTTTGCATTTATATATAAACCACATCAGATGTATATAAAAACACAATCTTAAGGTATTACTTGACTATTAATTCTATGTGTAAGGTTGAAAGTTAAAGTGTGTCATTCAATATGAAATTATGTATTTCATGTCAGAGTTATCAACTATTCATTTTATCCCAAACTGCTGATTCAGTAACATTTCTCGGTAAAGGAGAGTAAATACCAGATACAGTATAAAGGAATACAGAAAAACTACAGACATGCATTTTGGAGGTTCTAGACGATATGCAAATACAATATCCAAACTATACGATGTAAAAAGATATTTTTATTTTTAACATAAACATCACATTGCATTCTGATTTGTCAGAATTGAGTCAGCTAGATGTAATTAATTCATAGACATATCTTGAGTACAAATACTTTTCTATCACATCTGAGTTTCTGCATACAACAGACAAAAATTTTATTAAAAGCTTACCACATTTCATGTATGTATGTATATATATATATATATACACACACACATAGTAAATTTAGAATTATAGTCAAAATTTATTCTCCAATAAGGGGCCAGTCCATCAGACTGACCCCAAGTAAATTCATTTAAATAAATTCATCAGTTTCTTTCCTTTTATAGCATGTCATAATAAACATGTTTCTTGATCAGATGGAATAAAAGATGGACCTTTCGCAACTCGACTGCTAGAAAATATTCAAACAGCCATGATTCTATGATACCAAATTTATTGAGAAAAAGACCTCCTACCCAATCTGTTGTGATGGCTATGTTCCTACAGAGATTTATTATAATGTCGGTTTTGTGAAACTAAGTACCTGTTAAGTCAGTGGAACCACTCAGTCTTAGCTGGCTCTCTACTTTCCGTTGGTATAAGATATCGGGAACTTCCTTTTTACCAATTAACAGAATCCAAAGATTCACAAAGCTACAAACAATGAAAAATATCACACACAATAAAAGAACACAACTATTAAGTATGATATAAGCATTTATTTCTAAATTATTCTTTCAAGATAGCAACTCAAATATTAGGTGACAGCACAGCAAACTGGAAATAAAAGGGCAGCTTCTGCATTTGATCTTGTATTAAAAAATAAACAGATCTGTTGAAACATGTAAATATAAGGTATGAACCAAAAACTCTACAATTAACCTATCTTTCTACTTCTTTTGTAGTTTATAACAGAAAAAGTACTTTTATATATGTTAATTTAAGGTTAAATAAAAGGTTGGAGAATACATATTTTTCTTTTAAGGAATCGTGGGGAAGTGACTCAAGTAAGGTCAGCTACTGAAGGACTGGAAATAATAAACAGGGGTATACATATCAATCCATTAGCCTGATACATGAAACAACCAAGTTTTGAGTTTGAGCTATATGGAATTCCATACATACTATCCTAAGGCTAGTGTGGTTCTGCTTGCATGACATGTGTGAGCACATGTAAATTCCAACTCTATATTTAATGATTAAAATTAACAAAATGCTACCTGTAATTATTTTTTCTTTCTACTGCTAAATATCTAATGTCACTGAATTGGTAGCCAGCTTTTCAACAATAGACTAATCTTATCATAAGTGTGATATACAAACACATCTGCTTTACTCAGTAATTAGCTTGTAAATTAAGTGTCTAATTATTTAGTTTTGTATGTATAACCCTTTCTTATCTTTTTGCTGGGATTGGAGTAGCCAGCTTTTCAACAATAGACTAATCTTATCATAAGTGTGATATACAAACACATCTGCTTTACTCAGTAATTGGCTTGTAAATTAAGTGTCTAATTATTTAGTTTTGTATGTATAATCCTTTCTTATCTTTTTGCTGGGATTAGAGTAGCCAGCTTTTCAACAATAGACTAATCTTATCATAAGTGTGATATACAAACACATCTGCTTTACTCAGTAATTGGCTTGTAAATTCAAGTGTCTAACTATTTAGTTTTATATGTATGACACTTTCCTATCTAAGGTTGATTTTTGCTGGGATTAGAGTCGTCAGTTTTTGATGAAACTGCTGTGTTTGGGCAATATGATATGGATTCCCCATTTGGGACTCTATGGCCTTTTTCCTAGGTACACTGGAAAAGGGTGAGGTGTCTTAAATGTCAGACTAGCAATTGGTTGTTTTGTATAGACTGGATAACCTGCAGAAAGATTTTACATTTTTATATATATTCTGAATATATTAATATTATTTTCAAACATGTCAGAAACACCAGTCTATCACGTATATTGTCTGGTTAACCTGCTCATGGATTTAACACCTGCCAATGCAATTATTCCATTCATGACCCACATTTGTTTGATGGCAATATTACACAAAGGCTGAGTTTTCTTTATGAGGAAGTGACATTGTTGAAGAAGCCATTCCAAAGACAGCACCTGAATTGTGCAAAGGTAGATGATACCTGTTGCTTTTCAGTAATGAACCACAAGGTGAAATGTGGGGGAACAAAATCATCTGAAGATGATCTAGGTATTGGATTGGGGGGGGGTCATACTTAGTAGATCAGCCACCATACTGCGATCTCTTGAGACTCAGCCTGTGACTGGGAGATTTATTTTTATAAAAGTGCCACATAAAAGGTTTGTTAAAAATGATTTCTATAGGTGTGGGAGTCAAGTGACTCTGTGGATATAAAAGTGGCTAAATGGAACAAAGCAGGTTGTTTTTTTTATACAAGGGATTCAGTCAGATTGGATTAATATCAAGTGGGGTACCACATGGTTCAGTGATAGGATCTATGCACTTTTTGATTTCAACAATGACATATATAAAGGAATGTTAAATAAATTACTTATATTTGCCAATGATATTAAGGTCTTCAGTGTTGCTAGCTGTGAGAAGGATGCTGCTGCTTTACGAAAGGATTTAGATCATTTAGTGAGTTGGGTAAATAAATGGCAGATGACTTTTAATTATAATAAATGCAAGGTAATGCATATTGGTTATCATAATTTGAATAATAAGCATAATTTTGATGGGAATAACCTTTATGGTGTTCTACTTGACCAGTCTCTTAAGTCATCTATCTATACAGTGTGCTGTTGCTAGTGGTAGGACAAACATGTGTCATGCCCAAGAACAATGGGAAATGACATTGTTATCCAGTCATTGACAACGTTGCCTGATTTCTATCTATACGTGTAACACATATATTTGCAATGTGTAGTAATTAAGTTATTATAATGGAAACAAAAACAGTTGGGCTGGTAGAATTGTAGTTTAGGCTTATACATTTCTCCTGCCTATTAGCCTAGGGCTTGTACAGAAATTATTTTATACCTCTGATAAAGTTATTAAGGCCTTAAAATGCTTCAACAAGATTGCATGCAAGCCTCTAATAAACCTTATCAGCATTATTACAGTAATAAATCTAAAGTTTCATTTTAAATTTCCTTGAATGCTAAATTTTGTTCTATTAATTTCAAAATTTCATATAATGCGAGATATCAGGATATAGTTAGTCATAACATAGTGAATTTTATACAACATTCAGCCTATTTATGAACAGATATTTTTAAATGTGTGTGTGTGTGTGTGCATTAAAGAACCTCGAACTTAACAACTTCACTTTAATATGACAGTTCTGTACAGATTTTAATTTCATTAGAGGATATGACTTATGTTTATTTTCCTTTCAAACTAGCAAGTTTTTTTTTTTCCTAAAAATTAAAATGTATCTTTTTAATCAAATACAAAATAACCAGCAGAATGTTAACATAAACTATAAAAGTATACAATTATGGAAACAATGAAAAAAACATGAAATTTAATAATTTTAAAATTTCAGTTTTTTACCTGGTGGTTCCATCTTCTCCAAGTTCCATCATACAAATTCCATCTTTACAGTTCTTTCCCATCAACTTATGAACATGAGGTTTGAGTTCATCAACTGAGTATAGAGTAGCCTTAATAAAAACTTGCTCATTATGCTGACGTTGAAAATATTCAAGCTGAAATACACATAATACTGTAATATTAAAAAAATTCAATTATTTTCTGGAGTTCTATTATTTTTTTTGTTAGGAACTAAATACAACAATGGACTAGATATAAAATGTTTATACAACTTACTATAATGTATAATGGTTTTCTTTTCTGAAACACATAAATATTCAGTAAAAATAATCAACAACACGAGAAGTGTAAAGATTTCTTAGCAGCAGTCTTAGCAACCAAGTTACTTTAACTTAAGTTTGACCTTATTTACACAAAATGTTTGATTTTGCATTTTATAGTGAATCAATAGCACAAGTTATTTTTAAAAATAATTTCTAAAAATAGCTTTCTGGAACATTAGACTGGTCATTTGAGAGACATTTTACATACGATGTTTTAAACTTTTTTATTATATTCAGTATTTGGCATTTTCAACCTGAATGGCAACTTCTATGAAACATGGGCTAAATGGCCAGGTCAGAGATCAATAATGGTCATATTTAATCATCCCTAATTTAACACTGGTGCCTAGTGAGATGCAGCCAGTCAACAGCATCTATGTGGCTAATCTTAACTGAGTTTTCTTTTAAAGTTATAATGCCCAAATATCTGAAAGTACAGTGTGTGTTTAGCTGCATATTATAGCTCAACCTTTTGATTCATAGACCAGTATACCAACCACCAGATCACAACCAGCCCTATTACATTTATTCAAATATTATTTGAATTGTATTTCCAGTTTGTCCCTGAAGAAGAAAGGTCCATCTTTCAAAAGTGCTCGGGTTATAGGGTATAGTATTTTTATGTTAAATTGATTTCTTGAACCTACGTGTTTTTCTAACATCATAAATTTTAACCAATGAATTATTTCATTATTTATGTGGATTTAGTCTTATATATTTAGACTTCTTTTTCCACTCTTATCATTTTATTCTACATCAAAATTAATCAAATGATACAATGTTCACTTGTATCATCATTCAAATTGCAAGTGTATTAAGTTTAAATCAACAATTGTATTCTTCCAACTGTCAATTTATACCTGAAAAATGGAATTTTTTATGAAACATTAATCTGTTTTTGGTTAGTTTAACAAATTTCATCCATGGCATTTTGCAGTTTTCCAATATTTAAATGCAAACAATTAATAATGAATATTATAAGTAAAAAAGTAGTTTTACATGTTTTGCTCATTCTTTTCCTTGGTTAATATTTAAGAAACATTTATTAAGGTCCTAGCTGGATTATTAGACATAACTTTCACTTATTTAATCCTTCTCATATTGAATAGTTTACAGCCATTTACCAAAATTATTTCTAGGTGATTTTTTTTTGGTCTAGAGGATCATGTGTTTATGAGCTTCTAACTTTGTAATGTTACTTAATATTATGCTCAAAGTACACTGCATTACACTTTGTCTTACCGATATGTAAATGACATTACACAAACCTTGACAATAGTCTTACACTATTTTACATTTAAAAATACCTTTTAATCATATATTTAAAAACACTTAAAAGGTATTCTTTGATAGATTATTTATATAGAGTATTCAAGACAAGTACACTGGAATAGTCAGCAACTGCCTGCTGTAGACAAAACATGTGTAGAGGACCACGTCTACAAAAGCCTTCCACTTTCAGGTCCTGAAAATGAAAGACTTTTATAAACATCATCCTCTACACTTGTGTTTTTATTTACAACAGGCAGTTGCCACCTATTCCAGTGTACTCATCACTTTGCTGCCTATTCCAGTACTCATCAATTAAAAGGTAATTTTTAGCTTGCACTTGTACTTAATCATAAATATATCAATAAAGAATCTAAAATGTCAGATAAAATATATCAAAGTAAAAAAAATACTGCACTCTATAAAACAAATACAACTACTAAAAAAGCTACAACTTTTGAAACGTACTTTCACTGTGGGGTATGTTCTCTTAGAAGCAGTGCTATTTTTTCCTGTTAAACCACCATGAGAGCCTTTTTCACTTTTATAGCGATACCTTATTCTATCAGCTGGCTGCTCAGTAATGGTCAGAGATGGTTGCCTACCTATAAAAAAATTATAACAGCAGATACTTAAGTTCATTTAATAATAATATCTTTTGAATAATATTTAACAAAAATGCAGATAACACAATTTCTGTTGTAGTTTCATAGGTATTTTAGGTAGTGTAGGCACAGTAGAGATTTAGCTTAAATGGACTGCTCCTGCCAGTTTTTAAAGTAGTACAATGTTTAAGCATCTATAATGATCTGAAAAATACCCCAACAAGAAGCTGAGATATCAACCAACTCTAGAACAGGAAGAAGCAATCAATTTAATCCAAATCTCTACAATTTTTGTTGCACATTTTCCTCCTTGTCACCAAATTATTTGAAAACATTTTAGTATTTCACTTCCACTCATGATTTAACTGTATCAGTTTTATATAGCTACAAACAAAGTTAAAATTTAGAACTTTCAGCTTTGCTATTTACATGTTGAATGATTCCTAAAGTTAGTTTAAACCAAACAAAAGCAGGGAATAAATTATAATATCCAATGCTGGAATAAAAAATATTAAAAGAAATTCCTACACACTAAAATATAATCATCAACATAAAGAAATTTTTCTACACTTCAACTATTGTAGATCACATTTCAATGTGGGACAAACATACAGAAATTATATGATATACATTAAAAGAAAATCAAATTAAGAAACAATTTCAACTGGTACAGCAAAGTGTTTTACTACTGAAGTACAACCAGATAAAAAAGTTCACAAGTTTGATAACTGAAACTAGTTGTACATATTACATATATCACTGTTTCTCAACCATCCATCAACGGTCCAGCTCCAGCCCATCACAACCAACTTGCCAGTATTCACAAATGCAAATGAAATATTCATATGTAAATTGTAATGATTTTTCATTGTGCTTGTATTTTACTGATCCACGACAGTGTATGGAGGCAGTGAGCTGGTTCCTGGTATTGAGAAGGTTGAGAAACACTTGCCATATATTATCACAAGCAATGAGAATTCTCAATGACTTTAATAATAATGCAGAAGTTGATAATCAGTTACTGTAATGGAACTACAATTTACCAACATTTAACCATTATTTTAAAATGTAGAATATAAAGATGTACACATAAACTAAAACAATGTGACATCAATCTATTAATATTTCAAAATATTATGCAGGTCTTTGACTTGTCTGTTCACTGTTAGTAGTATTAGTATTAAAGCAAAGCCTACCCACCAAAAACATAATCTACAGGGCAAACAAGTATTATATTGCAGTCTAACTTTAATTTCTAAGGACAAAGCTAACTTGCCTATAAAAACTTGAAAAAAAAAATAAACATTGGTTTCACTTACCATGATTTGCTGACTCCTTTGAGGACATTATTTCCATTTTTTGAAGTGTCATTTAAAACAGCTATACATTTCTAATCTTGCTAACAGTAACGCTAACAAGATGGCAACTCATTTAAGGTTAAGTCATGAACTGTTGCTTTTAGATTTAATATTGCAGACACAGTTTCACCATCATAGTATCAATATCAATGTAACTTAATTTTTACTTATGGAATCTAGTAATAGTAGGCCCTTTCTTTAGGGAATAAAATAATATTAGGCTACTTTCTGTTGGAGCAATTACAAATACTTGAGTTAAACTGAAGTCAAACATTCATGATTAACGTCATTACTCGCCATAATGCAGTATTTCAACTTGAACTGTGAAGTTCAACTAAAGTAGAACTAAGAACTAACCCTATGAAGGCTTAACTTAAGTCTACTATTTTGTTTTCACCCTCCAGCCCAACTTGGTGATAATTATTTATGGGGATAAAGTAAAAATCAGGTAACGTTACAAGCCTAAACAAAGTCTTAAACTTTGTCACATAATCTCAACTAAATATAATATGTACTTAAAAGTTATATATAACGAACTGAATTATAAACTCTAGCCCTAAGCTATTACTATTAGTATTACTATTAGGCATAACTTGCGTCTAACAAAGTAATGTTAAATACTAAATTAAAACTGGGATAGAAGCTTGTTTGTTTATTAAGTTTAAAGCTTCACAAATGGGCTACTTATGCTATGCCAACTGCGGTTATAGAAACCTGATTTTTAGCGCTTTAACAGTTTAAGCCCTTACATTTATCTCAGAACTACAACTTACAACGACCGAGGGAGGGAGGGGAAGGCTTCATGTAGAAGTTTAGACTTTTAGAGTTAGACTAAGTTTAGTCTTGGAACAGATGTGACTTAAGTTAAACTACTTATTTAATTAAGTAATATAATTATCAATCAACAGCTTTTTGTCACTTGGTAACTTTGATGTATATATTGTATATCGGCTATAAATTTCAATACTAATTCGAAGCCTGCAACGCCTCAATCGTCCAACCATCACAATTCCTCACGTGTTGTTTACTAAAGCTATGGTAATTCCCATGTAAGTTTCGCTTTCAACATGGGGATTCTTCATATATTTCTTCATACATAATATAATTATGCAAATATGAATATAATCTGTAAAGATAACCCAAATTTATTCAATAATTTAGCAGTGCATAACAAATAATGTTTCAACTTTCAAAAAATTTATTCAACGGCTAAAAGGGTTCATAAAGTTATATTAATAAATAATGTTTTCATATTTCTTTATCATTTGCGCCATTTGTTGCTACATTATATTTCCACCATAAATATTGAAATAAGGCAATCAGATTATTTAGACATGTTCTAAAATAAAATGATTTTACTACTTTTTTCAAGACGGGTAAATTCATATAATAAAATATAATAAAAACACATTAAATATAAAAATGTCCAACAAGTTTTAGAATGTTAGGGGGTAAACTTGGGAAGAATTTAAGTCAAAAACCTGTTTAGCTCTAAATTTAAAGTTAAATTTACTCGTGCACATATGATAATTGAGAAATACTACGGAACAGTACATTACTTTTGTTCTAAGCTGTATTTTCAATGCTTTAACTTAGTTGTTTGCTAAAGGGAATTACAAGCATGATGATGATGGTAGATTTAGAAAGTTTATAAAAGTAGTCCTGGAATAACTAGAATATTTGTGAATGTTAATAATCGAGAGACTTGAAGAAATATAGATACACGTACGAGAATCAGAGAAACATTGAGTTTCAATTCGTTCAGTGATTGAGAAGTTACTGAAGTATTCAGATCAGTGTTAGCTATAATCAGTTAGTTGACCGATAAGCCGTGAAAGTGTACAAGCAAGCTTATTTGTACATTAGCCGTAGTAACATGTATTGGCAAGTAAATTTCTGTTGAAAGTAAAAGTATTATTTAGGAACTAGGGTCTTGTGTACAAGTGAACATAGCCTGTAGCAAACGTTAAACAAGAAGTAAAGTAATTGTTATTGTTACTTGGACTGGACTTCGTGTTATTTTCACCAATTAATTTAGAATAACTCACTCAGCAAAATAACACATTACAACAATATTAACAGCTGTGTAACTTTACGAATTAATAAAAAGTGCTATCTTATATTTTATTTTTCTGAATGTAGAAAAAAGAAGAAGAAGAAAGTGTTAACAGTAATTGTATTATGCCCTTGCATTGCTTAGTCCCAATCAAGGAAAAGTTGATAACTTTAACTTAGATGTATCTAATTATATGTCTCACACGTGTTCTTTCTAAGTAACATGATCTTGGTTTTATTTAGTTATTTATGGGGCTGTTTAAAAAAATTCTTAAAGTAACATTTTTCAGAAATTCTAAAATATCTATTGATTGCAGTCTTTACCATGGCAGAGTAAGACGTTATATGCCAAATAGTTAATTTTAGATTCCTTGTAATGAAAGGATTTATATTTATTTATATCATAATTATGATCTTCTTGAATTTTCTAATTTAACCTATTTTACTTTTGCATAAGTAAACAATAAAACATCAGAATTAACGAATTATACCATAATATTTTAATTTATGTACTAATAATAAAACATCTTTCGGGTTAACAGCGAGCTTGAGGGTTTATAAAGTGCACGATTCGATGTGTGTGTGTGAGGTTGGGGGGCACAGCGCAAATAATCCACTGTGCACCTATGCGCTTAAAACTAAACAAAATAGTAATTTATTATCCCTTTTCACTAATATTTTTGCTGTGACGATGATATTTAATCATTTAATTAATGATTCCTTAAAGTCACTGATTACTAAAGAAAAACTAACAATGAAAATTACTTCCAGGACAAATATTTAACTTGTATGTATGTCACCTTACATTTTTTGCTTACGTGGTGAGCTTCTTTTACATCGTGTGATATAATTTGAAAGTATAGAGCAAAGTAATAAGATAAAATAGATAATTTCATCAGTTAATAACGAAAACAGACAATAACTGTCTATAAAACAAACGCTTGGTTCTTACTACCATGGCCTAGTGGTTAGGGCGCACAATTCGCGGGTTGTAGATTCGAATCCCAGTCAACAAATATCCTCGCCTTTTCAGCCGCAGGGGGGCTATGATGTTTTTTTTAGTAAGATTTTATTCATTTTATGACCATTTTCTTGTATATGTTGATATGTACCAAAAATATGCGTTAAGTAAATCATAGTCTTATCAGGGTGTTTCTGGGATAGTGTTAATTTATTTAACTTATAGAAATAAATAAAAAGTCGTACACTTACTTGGGAAAGATGGAGACTGAAGTGTGTGAATTTGATGTGGAACATTGGTAACTCCGTAATGGAATCCATTCCCAAGAACTTGTGGATTTCCATCTGTCTGGATATTCACAGGAGGAGAAAACACTGTAGAGTCTATTGGCATTAAGGAACACGAACTGGGATTTGGTACACCACTGTAATGAAAGCTCTGGTAAACAGGAGTAGCCATTGTCGTAGACATACTGGCATAAGGCATAGAAAGTTCGGCTGTTTCTGGACCTAACAATTGCTCCGAAAACTCAGCCAAAAGGCAACTGGAAGTTCCCTCCAAAGGCAAGGGTGTGAATTTGTCCTTGTATAGAATACAAATGTATAACAAATAACCAACTAAGCTACATTTTCATTGAAAAAAAAATCTATATATATTCTTTTGTATATTTAAAGGTTAAGTTCAATTGTTTTACAAACTTAACCACAACACAAATTCGACAAGAAAATGTCCGTTGCAGGTTTATGTCACACTATGTCTTACTATGTACGATAAGTATCTATTTTATATCTGCTACTGGCACACTATTAGTTTGTTTGTATTGAATTTCGCGCAAAGCTACACGAGGGCTAT